GGGGCACGTCTCTGCCCTTTGTGCTTCTAAAACCGCCAGCTGCTCCCAGTTTGCGTGTGCGCGACCCCGCTGCTCCAGGTTTCCGCCCCGGGGACTGCCCTAAAGTCCTTTCCTCGCTGCTACCGGTCTGCGAGTCTGTGCCCCGTCCCCAGTGTGCAAGGCTGTCGCTCATTGACGGTGTAGGATCCCCACAGCCAGGCACCCTCCCGCTGCCGTTTATCCTCCAATATCTGCCCGCGGAATCAGGGCTCCCTGCTTCATACCTCAAAACCAACTGCCTGCGATATTCTGCTTGTAGAGGTCCAGATCTTCTTACATCTCAGGCTGGTTTCGTGGGTGCTCAGAGTGGTCTGGTAGATATCCAGCTCAATTCCGGGGACCAGTTGAAATAGGGTCCCCTAGTCCTCCGCCATCTTTCCCCCCTCCTCTGATAGTGTATTTAGAATAGCAATCCCTAAGAGGAACAATATTTTGTTGAGTTTTATTTACAACTCTTATATAAAGAAAGTTTATGTTAATAACTTGTTTTCAAGACATATTTAACTTTATAGATTTCAGGCCTAAAAGTTACATAGCATTGCTGTAAATAAGCCCTCAAGAATTTATGACCTTCCTTAGGAAGACTGTGATTACAAAAGACGTCCTGGTCCCGATCCCCAGCCCAGTGCAGTGATGTTAGAAAGCCTGACAATTTATTGAATTGGGTTGAAAAGCATCTGAAAGACCACAGCACTTAACGTTAAAAAGTAAACTGGAACCATTTAGAAAACACATACCTGGGGCTTTTTTGTCAGGACAAGGTATTTCCAAAGAATACTCTGGAAATTGCTGGACAAGGCAGCATTCCTCTTAGTTTCCTTGGACCCTAATGGTAGTAGTACCCTGAATCGCTGTGACAAACCAGAAATGCCTTCACATATTTTTCTAGGTGATACAGGGGTGGTCGTTCCCTCCTGCCCTTGTGAGCCATTGACAAAATAAAATTTGCACATAAAATTTTACAGTTTTAGAAATACCAAAAGAAAGTTTTTGATCATCTTGGGAATGGGTATCATGGCATTACTTATCCCGTGTTTCTCTCATTTGCCAGCCTTATGCAAAAAGACCACGTCAGGAGTTCCCCTTGGAAGAAGAGTACAGGTCAGCACTGCAAGCAGCATCAGGGGCCTTGGAGGCAATTGAGTCCTTACTCCAAAAGTCTCCTGCTCCAGACTGGCTTCTACTGAAAATGGAGATGCTCCAAGAAAGGATTGATGAGCTGAAACGACATGTACTCTAGGGTGGCCCTTGAATGGACTAGACTGTGTTACCACTAGACAGAACAGGGTGTGATTTTTACCATCCTACACGATACTTTGTAAATGAATATATTGATGTAACTATGCGTTTTCTAACACATATAAAACAACTTTTGTAAAGTTGAATCTAGTGAAAATAGTCTTTATTGGATGTTTAGAGAACAGGTGGTGGGGGAGATTTCTCGTGAAGAACTTTGGTACATGTAATACATGTGGAACAGTCAGGGACTGCCCAGGTACCCATAGGGCCACAGACAGTACAACTGTAAACAAATAAATAAGCTGCCTAAGGAAACCTTAGCAATTTAAAATTATTTATATACTTTACAGCTAAAATTTTTTCCGTAGTTGTATTTCATAATAAAGCTTACTCTTCTGTTAAAGAAATGGCACAAAATTAAGCTAATCAGCTTGAATTTTTGTATTTATTTTCTTCTGGAATTGTCCTGGAAAAAAGCAGTAAATTCAACCTTTCCATAGCTACTTGCTCTTCACAGAAACTGGCCTGTCAGACGCACACGAGCTCCTCCTCCGCAAAACCAGCGCTGGGGCTCTTTGCTGCTGGGGCACCAGCCAGCACTCGGGGGCTCGAGCTTCAGTTGGCACAGATGGGAAAAACAGATGCTTCTGGGTTTTCTTGTCTGCAGAGCCCACTTTGAGGTATTAGTTTGATTTTTTTTTTTTTTTTAAAGAAATCCTTTTCCCTAAAGTTATACCCGTTGTCACCAGTTATTATCTTCCCAGTTCAGCTCCCCTTCGTCTCCCCAGCCTTCAGACTCTCCCTGCAGCAAGATAAAGCAAACCAAGGGCAGGCTGCTGAGACAAATCATTTCTGAATTTAAAGAGGCCTAACACTTGCCTTTTATGCTGGAAGAGATCTCCTCGCGCTAGGTAAAATAACTTACTGCAACAGGAAGCCGAAGAGGAGGAGGATTACTTTGGTTCCAGATTTACAAGACCAAAATATTGGAAAATAACTTTCCAAGGACCATATAAATACAATAAAATCTATCTGATGATACCCTATTCTTGGTTTAACCCCTTTTTAAGTAAAAAGGTTATAATAGTAACTAGCGGCCCATTAAACACCTAAGTCTAAGCATTGCTACTTCTTTCTGGGGAAGGAAAGACAGCATTTATAGAAACTGATCATATTCATTTTGTGCTTCACCCATCACCGTAAGCAAATGTGTGCGTTCGTCTCTTCCCTCACCAGGAAAACAAGTCTGTTATCAACGAGACCTTGCAACCGGTTATGTACAAGGGCACCCTTTAAACTAGTAGCACGATTTACTAAGCCTCACCTCAGTCATCTCTGCTGCAGCAAATTTTGAGGAAAACTGCATCACTGGTGAGACGTCATCCTTGTCAGAAACCATCATTTCTGTCCTCAGTTCAGGCAAAATAAGAATAGCAGCTGAAGGCTTAATTTCTGGAATCATATCAGCAAACCAGTCCAACTCTGGATCTTGTACTGGCTTCTTTTTTACTTGAATGGTAAACTCCTCTCCTAAACCAAGTTCTGATGGAGCCTTAAGGCGCCTTTCTTGGGATGACACTTTTGGTGGCTTGGTTTGGTCTGGGTCATCCCCACTTTGTGCAAGATTGGTCTTTTGGGGTAGACTCAATTTCAAAGGCTTGGACTCTTCAGTGAGTGAAACCAAAGTAGAGATAGCCTCCTGTTCCCCTGAGGTACCCTGGCTGACAGCTGAGACTCCACCTCTTGCACTTATTTCAGTATCTAAGCTGCTGGATTCAAAGTCATCCCACACCACCTCCTCCGCGTTCACGTTAGTGAGTGGGGATGTGGAGGCATCGTAGGCTTCTGTGGGACAAATCTGGATGCTGACAGCTTTGTTTTCAGGCTCCTCAGGCTCACTCCAGTCAGGCCACTCCTCAGACTTTTTAGAACCTGCTGGGAAGTTCTCACTATCTCCCGAGGTATTTTTCACATCTGAGAGTCCATTCATGGGAAATTTAATAGGCTGAGGAAATTGATCACCTGTGGGGATATATACAAAAATTACTCTCATGAAGTGTTAAGAGCAAGCAAAAGGAAAAGGGTAACACAGGTTACTAAACTATACCTACAAAAGAGATATCCCAGCAGAACAGAACAAAGATGTGATATAAGTTATTCAAATACTTTAACTGGAGCATACAGTCCTTCACTAAATATTCAAGCATATTGTTTATTGGCATAATTATCTATAAACAAATATAGAAATGTTCTAAGCCAGGCAATGTTAACCCCAAGAAGTGTTGTGTGCTCAAATAAGTTTGTCTTAACCCAATATACCCTAATTTTACTTTTTAAATTTTATTTATTTATTTTTAGAGAGAGGATCTCAAGCAGGCTCCATGCCCAGCACAGAGCCCGACACAGGGTTTGATCCCTTCACCTGAGCCCAAATCAAGAGTCAGATGCTTAGCCGACTGAGCCACCCAGGTGCCCCTAACATACCCTCATTTTAAACAGATTTCCTTAAATGTAGTCAAGGCTCTGGAAAATTGTGCAATGTGTCAGGACTCTGCTACTAACATTTCCCCAAACTTACTTAACCACACAACTCTCTTTTTCATGGCATACCTACTGCCATCTAAGAACTATCATCCTCTGATACAATTTGGAAAATGCTACACTAAAGCATCAGAAGTACCAAAGTAATGTCAGCCAGCTCTCCTCACCAGTTATGAAAAAATGGAAGGTCTATGCCCTGTCCAGGAAAAGCAGAGGAGACCCAGCTGACTATAGAGTTGTAAGTGATAACAGAAGTCAGCCTCAATACTCCCAAAGTGCCCTTAATTTTCAGAATTTAAAACTCAGTACTCAGGAAAACATTCATCTAAACAGTGGAAAAGCTACATAAATTGAGTATTTCTACCTGTCTGTAAAAGAGTATTGTAGCAATCTTGCTGTATGTGCTTCTTGCTGACGGGCATGCTGCCAGAAAAGAAACATTTAGGGAATGTGCCAGAGGAGGGCTTCTCCACGACTGGCGCCATCTGAGTCTGCTGGCTACAGACGACATGCGGGGGAAAATCTGAAGATAAACAGAAACTCCCAAAAATAAAAGGGATAGTAAATTGCTTCTTGCTCTATCAGGGTAGGTGAGCAACAGTTAGGGGAAATGGGTCTATTTAACACAGTTAAAAGGTAAGTTGCAGGGAGAGAGCATCTTCAGATATCTGAAGAAACACACCTGTTACGCAGTGGACTGCCGGTCCTCAAGGTGTTTCAGGGCAGGTGAGTGTCTACATGATGTTAAGGGACTCGAAAGGATTCAAGCATTAGCTGAGGAGCTGATTAGATATAACCTTTAGGATGCCTACTTACAAAAGTTAATGGCTTTGAACATTTTGGCAATTTAAAATCATAATTGATTCTACTTTTAAGAATACAAAGTCTAAGAGTACAAGCACACCAATGTGAATGTACTTAATGCCACAAACTGTACAGTTAAAAATTGATAAATTTTATGTTATAGCAGATGTTTAACTCCCAGCTGGGGGGGAAATTATTTAAAAAAAAAAAAAAATGTTGTCTTTAATGGTTTACCAGAAAGCTTATACTCAACAGTGGGCTTTGGTCAAAAACATTCCAGCAAAATTTTTGGCTTAATACTTCCTCTGCCTGGGGTACATCATCACAGGGAGGCCTTGCCTGCCCTCCAAGGCCTGACCTCTGCAAGCCCTGTACCCTCTTGCTTGCTCTGCCACCATCCTCCCTGCCAAGGGCCTACCGATGTCTCTTATCCAGTGTCCCCTTCTCCAATGCTCTTCCACGCAGACTTATTTTCCTGAAGTACCCTTTTCATAAGCCTTAGTATTATCCCATATTAAGTCTGACCATATAGGTAAACTGCAGAAGAACAGAAGGAGAAAAAAAAGTCCAAGGGTACCCTCCTGTATACGTGCCCCCTCCCCAGCATTCTCCCACGTCCCTCAGAAGAAGGGCCACTCTTAACTGGGAACTGGGAAGTGCAGGCTGCCGCCAGGGCTCAACAGCCATCTTGGATGAAGAGCTTAACTAATTTGGGAAGTCAGTGGGATTAGACCTTATTCTGTCTTATAAAGTCTTCAGGAACATCTATTTTAATAAAAATTCATTTGGTACTCCTGCTTTGGTGTCTTTTGGTTTCTTACTAAGATTACAGGTCAACAGTATATAAAATGTCCAGAGCTAGGAAACTGCATCCAATAAATACAACAGGTATGAGGAGCGGGGTTCTTGCTAATTCAACATGCAAAGCTGCCCTCAGAGATGGACTCCCCAGTCTTATCTCAAAACTACACATACCACTACTACCATCCCCCCCCAAATGCCTCTGGTATGAAATATAAATACATCTCTCATTTGCTGTTTGGTGTACTCTGCTATGAGAAAAACCAGTCACACACAGACTTCATTCACTCAATGTAGTATGAACACAGCCTGGTCGGAGAGGGGGCACAGCTTCTTCTTCACCCTCTTCAAGCTCCTGACTGACACTGACTTCATTAGCACCAAGAAGAGTTGGACTCATCAAAACTTCAGGAAGCCAGTGTTGCTTTAAAGACTCTCCTGGGATCAAAATTAGGGAAAAGTCTGATAGTTCTTTTCTACTGTGACTGTTTCTGTGCTATCGAATTCACCGTCCATGAGAACTGAATCCAAGATCTGCATTTCCTAACAAGGTCACCATCCCAGTCAGGGTTAAACCAAGGACCAAGGAAGCAATGACTCTGATATAAAATTCTTATTCTTGACTTTTACAGCCTACAAAGACCAGAAATCACTGCTCCATCCCATGTAACATCCAATGAGAACAGACCAGAAATAAGGATTTCTTGAAGTACTTAAAAATCAACAGCTTTTTACCTAAAAGGCCATCAACATCAGAAAAACTTAAACGTCTAGTGTTACAAGTTGCTACAAACTTTTTAGAACGTGCCAGACGGTATCTATTAAAATTTTAAATATATACCCTTTGACCCGGTAGGTCTACTTCTGGGATTTTATCCTCTAGCAATAAAAGCCAAACTACATAAAGATACAGGTACATAGAAGACCTCTACCGCAGCAATGTAACATCCAGAAATGAAAGCAATATCCACCAATAGGGATACCACTGAATGAATTCAATGAAATATTAGGCAGCTGTCAAAAAGGGTGTTGTTTCTATGTATTGACCTGGAGACCAGTTCCTGATAAGCCACTACACAAAAAAATTAAGTTGCAGAATTGCACATAGTATTTTCTCATTGTTTTGTTAAAAAATCCTATATATGGGCATGTGGGTATAAAGATACATCTGTGTGTCTTTGTGGGGTAGAAAAAGGGAAGAAAAGATTGCCACTAAACTATTAAAACTGGTTACCTTGCACACCCAGAAGGAACTGGGAGAGGGAAATTACTCTTTACCATTCTCTGTATCATTTGACTGAAGACAACTCACCTGTATTATTGTATAATGTCAAAAATCTAATTAAACATTTAAAATAAAAAGCTATATTTTTTAATCATTTTTACCTTCTGGGGAAAGGTCGACCGTTTTCGTAAAACTTGGGGCAGTGCGTTTGAAGATCTTGGTTCTTTCTCCTCCCACAACCACCTCTGGTCCAAGCAAAGACACCAGCACTGCTAGGCTGTGAAGAGTAATTGCCACAATGGAATCGCTGGTATCACGCAAGCCCAGTAACACCTAGGAGCAAATCAGGTAGTAAGTGTACACAGCCATGCTGCCTGTCTTCTTTCCCCATAAACAAGCGGCTGGGCTGCGATCAGACTGCTTGCTCAGATGACTTTGTTTCTTACATAGGTGTCCAAGGTCAGTAGCTCTCCATCTGTCTGTGGTCAAGAACCAGTATTTTCCCCTCCCAATCAATCACGGTCTGATACATTGTTGAAGATACAGTAACAAAAATAAATACATTGGAAATAACAAAATTACTGTTAAACTGCTATAAAAGGTTCTAGACTTGTCCATGATGCTGGTCTGCTCCTGCCCCAGGACCAAAGGCAGCTGAGCGCTCTGGAGACCTCAGCTCTTTTAAGCTGACAGCATCCAGTATTCCGAGGAGACCTCCCAGCAACTACTAACCGGGCCTGACTCAGCTTAGTGTCGGATCAGCTGAGACAGGGTGGTTCAGGATGCTATGGCTGTAGAGGACTCTCCAAATTCTTGGAGAATCTAAATACTCCAATCGAAAGACAGAGTGACAAGAGCCTATACCTGTGGCAGAGGGGCTGACCGCTGGCCCTACCTACCAATGAGCCCACAGCAGCTTCCGGCCTCTCAACAGTGCAGGGACCGCACTGTCCAGTGTGCCCACAGCAGGCAAAGTGGGTCACCTGAGCTGACTGGGCTAAAGGCAGACATGGCTCAGCTACGACAGTAGGGTACACACAGCCCACACAGGAGACACCCCTGGAGCGCCTGCGACCGATGACCTGGCAGAGAATGCACTTCAGGGCACCACAGGACCTCTTCCACACAAGGCCACTACCTTCAAGATGCAGCTGACTACGCTAATACGTAGAAAGAGAGAGAAAATGAAGAAACAAAGGATTATGTCCCAAATGAAAGAACAAAGTCACAACCAAAGAGCTAAATGAAATGGAGATAAGCAAAATGCCTTATTCGAAGTAATGGTCATAAAGATACTCACTGGACTTGAGAAAAGAATGGATGAATGCAGAATTTCAACAAAGAGGTAGAAAATATAAAAAAGAATCAGAGATGAAGAATTCAGTAAATAAAAAATATACTAATGGAAATATCAGCTGATTAGTGAATGCAGAAGAACAGATCAGTGACCTGGATGACAGGCTAATGGAAAGCACCCAAACTGAACAGTAAGAAGAAAAAAAAATAATAAAAAATGAGAATAGGTTAAAGGAATTCAGTGATATCATCAAGCACAGTAACACTGGCATTACATGAATCCCACAGGAGGGGAGAAAAGGAAGCAGAAAACCTATTTGAAGAAATAATAGCTGAAGACATCCTTAATGTGGGGAAGGAAACAGACATCCAGGTCCAAGAAGCAAAGAGGCCCTCTAACAAGATTAACCTAAGAAGATCCATGCCTAGACACATTATAATTAAAATGACAAAAAGTAATGATCAAGAGAGAATTTTAAAAGCAACAAGAAAAAAGCAGTTACAGAAAAGTAAAATCCCATAAGGCTATGAGCTTATTTTTCAGCAGAAACTGCAGGCCAGGGGGAATGGCATGATAATCAAAATACTGAAAGGAAAAAGCCTGCCACCAAGAATACTCTACCCAGTAAGGTTATCTTTCAGAATAGGAGGAGAGACAGAGTTTCCCAGACAAAAGTTAAAGGAGTTCATCACTACTAAACTGGCCTTTTACATTTCCTACTAAAGGAAATGTTAAAAGAGTTATTTGAGTGGAAAGAAAAGGACATAATCCATAGTAAGAAAATTATGAAAGGGGGGCACCTGGGTGGCTCAGTTGGTTAAGCGGCTGCCTTCGGATCAGGTCATGATCCTGGGGTCCTGGAATCGACCCCCACGTCTGGCTCCCTGCTCAGCGGAGAGCCTGCTTCTTCCTCTCCCTCTGCCTGCCACTCTGCCTACTTGTGCTCTCTACCTCTCTGTCAAATAAATAAATAAAATCTTAAAAAAAAAAAAAGAAAAAAGAAAATTATGAAAGGAAAAAATTTCACAGGTAAAAGCAAATATATAGTAAAAGCAGTAGATTAATCACTTTTAAGCCAATGTGGAGGTTAAGACACAAAAGAAGTAAAATCAAATATCTACAAAAATCAGTCAAGGAACACACAAAAAAAGATGTAAAATATGACCTCATATACATAAAAGGGGAGTAAAAATTAAGTTCAAACTTAACGTTCCAAAGAAAGCACTGAAGTGACCATCAACTTAGCATAGGCTGCTATGCACATAAGATTTTATATGTGAACCTAATGGTAACCACACATCAAACACCTGTAATAGATACAGAAAAAATAAAAGAGAAAGGAATCCAAGCACAACACTAGAAAACCATCAAACCACAACAGGAGAGAGCAAGAGAAGAAAGGAACAGAGAAGAACTATAAAAACAACCAGAAAACAATTTTAAAAATGGCCATGAGTACATATCTATCAATAATTACTTTAAATGTGAATGGACTAAATGCTCTCATCAAAAGGGGCAGGGTGACTGAATAGATAAAAAACAAGACCCCACAATATGCTGCCTACAAGAGACTCACTCAGACCTAGAGACATACTAACTGAAAGGGAAGGGACTAAAAAAGATATTCAATGCACCTGGAAGTGAAGAAAAGCTGAGGAGGCAATACTTTGTATCAGACAAAACAGACTTTAAAACAAAGACTGCAGCAGGAGACAAAGAAGAACACTACATAATAATAAAGGGATCAATCCAACAAGAGGATATACTAATTAATAAATACCTATGTACCCACCACAGGAGTGCCCACATACACAGAGAAGTATTAACAGACCTAGAGAAACTGACAGTAACAGTAATCGTAGGTGACTTCAACACCCCACCTACATCAATGGATAAATCAGACATAAAATCAACAAGGAAACAAGGGCTTTGAATGACACATTAGACTAGATGGACCTAACAGATACACACAGAACACTCCATCCAAACACAGAAAACACATTCTTTTCAGGTGCACATGGGACATTTTCCAGGACAGATCACATGTTAGGCCACAAAACAAGTCTCAATACATTTAGAAGACTGAAACCATATCAAAGCATCTTTTCCAACCACAATGGTATAAAACTAGAAATAAATTATAAGAAAAAAACTGGGAAATTCACAACTACATAGAGATTAAACATGCTACTGAACAACCCATGGGTCAGAGAAGAAATCAAAGGAGAAAAAAAAACCTTATGAGATAAATGAAAATAGAAAAACAACACACCAAAATTTATGGGATGCAGCAAGAGCAGTTCTAAGAGGGGAATTCGCTGTGATAAATGCCTACCTCAAGAAACAAAAAAATCTCAAATATTAACTTTATACCTCAAAGAACTAGAAAAAGAATAAATGAAAAAACAAATGAAATAGAAACTAAAAAACAAAAGAAAAAATTCAAAACCAAGAGCTGGTTCTTTGAAAAGATAAAATTGACAAACCTTACCTAAACACATCAAGAAAAAAGGAGGACATAAATAAAATCAGAAATGAATGTTACAATCGATACCACTGAAATACAAAGGATAGAGACTACTATGAATAATTACATGCCAACAAATTAGAAAAATAGAAGAAATGGATAAATTCCTAGAAACATGTTACAACCTACTAAGACTGAATCATAAAGGAAGAGAAAATCTGAACAGGCTGATTATTAGCAAGGAGACCGAATAATCCAAAAACTCCCAACAAACAAAAGTCCAGGATCAGATGGTTTCACAAGTGAATTATAACTAAACATTCAAAGAAGAAATAATACCAAACACTAATTTGACCCATGCTTACTGCAATGTTATTTACAATAGCCAAGACAGGGAAACAACCTAAGTGTCCATCAAGAGACAAATGGTAAGAAAGATGCAGCATATATAAATACTACTCAGCCATAACAAAAGATGAGATATGCCATTTGCGACAACATGGATGGACCTAAAAGGGATTACGCTAAGTGAAATAAGTCAGACTAAGAAAGCCAAACACCATGTGATTTCACATGAGTGAACTGATTCCACTCATGAACTAATTTCATGAGTGGAATCTAAAAAACAAAACAGGGATGCCTGGGTGGCTCAGTCGGCTAAGTATCTGCCTTCGGCTCAGATCGTGATCTCAGGGTCCTGGGATCCAGCCCACATTGGGCTCCCTGCTCAGTGGGGAGCCTGCTTCTCCCTCTCCCTGCTGCTCCCCCTGCTTGAACTCTTTCTAATAAATAAATAAAATCTTTAAAAATAAATAAAAAAAATAAAAAACACACAAATGAATAAGCAAACAAAAAGCAGAATCAGACCTGTAAATACAGAGAACAAACTGATGGTTGCCAGAGGGGAGGGCGAACAAGGTTGGGCATAAGGGGGGAAGGGCCGTGGGAGGCTCAGGCTTCCAGTTACGGCCTGAGTAAGTCATGGAAATAACAGGCACTGCATGCAGAGTATAGTCAATGATATTGTCAAAGTGATGTATCAGGACAAATGAGCTATCACCTCATACCTATGAGAATGGCTTTTATCAAAAAGACAAGAGGTAACAAGTGCTGGTGAGGATGTGGGAAGAGGGAGCCCCGGTGCAGCCACTGTGGAAACAACATGGAGGTTCCTCAAGAAGTTAAAAAAAAAAAAAAAAGAAAGAGAGAAAAGAAAGGAAAGAACTACCATAAGATCCAGCAATTCCACTTCTGGGATTTTATCCAAAGAAAACATAAACACTAACTTATACTTAATTTACACTTAACACCCCCCCCACCATGTTCCCTGCAGCATTATTTACAACAGTTGAGATACGGACACCTAAGTATCCATCAATGGATGAAGGAATAACGAAAATGTGATTTTATACACACATACATACAGGAGTATCACTGAGCCATATAAAAAACAAAACCTTGCCATTTGCAACAACATGGATAGACTTTGAGAGCATTATGCTGAGTGAAATAAGTGAGAGAAAGACAAATACCATATGATCTCACTTATATGTGGAATGTAAAAAGAACAAAACAGGGGCACCTAGCTGGCTCAATCAGTGGAGCGTGCGACTTTTGATCTCAGGGTTGTGGGTTCAAGCCCTATGTTGGGTGTGGATATTACTTAATTAAAATTTTAAAACCTTTTTTAAAAAAAGATTGTATTTATTCATTTGAGAGTGAGTGAGCATGAGCTGAGGGAGGGGGCGCAGTGGGCAGAGGGAGAAGTAGACTCCCAGCTAAGCAGGGAGCCCCAACGCAGGGCTCAATATCAGGACTTGAGCTGAAGGCAGACGCTTAACCATCTGAGCCACCCAGGCGCCCCCAAAATTTAAAAATCTTTAAAAATAAAAATAAAATAACAGAACAACAACAAAACAAGCTCATAGAGAGAACACATTGGTGGTGCCAGAGATAGGAAGGAGAATGGTGAGGAGGGTCCAAAATGGGTGAAGGGGTCAAAAGGTACAAATTTTCAGTTATAAAATAAATAAGTCAGGGGTCCCTGGGTGGCAGAGTCAGTTAAGTGTCTGACTGTTGGTTTCGGCTCAGGTCATGATCTCAGGGTTGTGAGATCTAGCTCCGTGTCAGGCTCCACGCTCAGCAGAGTCCGCTAAAGCCAATCTCTCCCTCTGCCCCTCCCTGTGTTCACTCTCTCTCTCAAGTAAATAAATAAATCTTAAAAAAAAAAGTCATGGGCATGTAATATACAGCATAGTGACTATCACTAATATTACTGTATTGCATAAAGTTGCTAAGAACATAAATCTTAAAAGTTCTCATCAAAGAAAAAGGAATTTAGTAAACTATGTATGGTGACAAATGCTAACAAGTCTTACTGTGGTGATCATTTCACAATATGTACGAATACTGAATCATGTGGTACACCTGAAACTAATAGGTTATATGTAAATTATATCTCAATTAAAAGACCGCTTTACATGTTCATTCTCCTTACCTGTACGCACGTCATTGCAGGACCATAAACACAGTTCAGAGACAGGCGGTGTCTACTGAGCACACTTAGAACCACTTGTCTACGTCCCTCACACTTATGTCCCTAGCCCCTGCCCCTCTTCCCAGCTTTACACATGCAAAAGGATAGGACTTGGAAAACTGTCTTTGTATCTGATGCACATAACACCTGCCCAAGCTGAGCCAACTATGATCTCTTTCCAGCATTAACTGGAATGTGGAGAAACTGGTTACCTCTGTGGCTTGCTATAATTATGGACAATAAACTTGGAAGCTATGGGGACAACCATGTTTGGCCATGTGTACATCAAACAATGAAAGCTAGTCTTCGGAAAGTCAAAAGTGGGACAGATCAAAAGAGAAAGGAAAGGAATGAAGAGCATGTGGCTGAGTCCCAGCTGCACTTGATTTCCATGTAAGGCAGTTCTGACATCCTTTTACTAAAGTCTTTTTTTTTTGCTTTAGCTCGTTTAAGTGGGCTTCAGTTACTTGCAACCAAAAGAAACTGAACTATGACAGTCACATGCAGGTCTCAGGAGAAGCTTTGCTCTGAACCGGCAAAGACCTGTGTGAGGAAGATGGTGTGCAAAGCACCTGCACCGGCCAGATAGATAGAGGGCCAGGGTAACCGGCCTCCCCAGTGGCGGGAGCATGGCATCACGTGTACCAGGAATCCTGGGTTCTGGTGCCAGCTCCTCTAGGAATTCTCATTATGACTTGACTCATCATTTAATTTTTCTGGTCTAGTTACCTCATTTATCTAAGATCAAGATTTCCAACAAGACTCAATAAGACAATTATCAGGTCCGATACTAACAAATCAGGCACTTTCTCAAAACAAAGCTGTACAAATAAACTAAAGTGTGTTTCTTTCGAAAATGATTAGAATTCCAACCACTAAGGTAATTATAAAATAACAAACCACCCAAGCCACAAATCCAAGAGTCATCCTCAAACCTTGCCTCTCTCATGAGAAGCTGAGTCCTATCCTACCCTTCTACCCTTTTTATGTCCCTTTCCCATAACCACTGTCCCCACATCCTCCCCAGACTTTGCCTTCTCTTAGCTGGACTGTTATAATAGCTTCCTACCTGATCTCCCTTTCTACAGTCCATCTTCCACACTGCTACCAAAGTGAACTTTATAGCACATAAATATTGGCCCAGTGGGGTGCCTAGTGGCTCAGTCGGTCGAGCATCTGACTCTTGGTTTTGGCTCAGGTCGTGATCTTGCAGTTGTGGGATCGAGCCCCAAGTCAGGTTCCACGCTCAGTGTGGAGTTTGCTTCAGATTCTCTCTCCCTGCCCGTCCCCACTTGCGCCCGCACTCTCTCTCTCTCTCTCAAACAGAAAATTTTTTTTAAAAATTGGCCAAGTTATTCCCCTACAGAGGAGAGCCTTCGTTGTCTTTCACACACTGCTGACTCAATCTTTGGGCTCACCTCTGTGTCAATTCGGAGACCTACGAGAACTCCATTTCAGAGGGAGAGTGCTCCGTCCCTCTTCGACATTTTCAGACACAACTACATCAGGGTAACAGTAACACAACGTGCTATCTTGTGGTTGCTTGGCCCTAAAGCCAGCCCCTCCGCTCTGTGGTCCCCCTAGTACCCATGTGCTTGTGTAAAGCAGCACCTAACGAACCTGGGCTGACTTGCACGACTCACTCGAACCAAGAGACTGGAACAGAAGTGACACTGTCCATTCCTAATCTGTGCCTCAGAAAGGCCGCTCTGGTGCTTCCCATGGCCCTGGGCAGCCGGGTATGAAGTCCACCTACACTGTTAGAGATATGACAAAGGGGAACAGAGGCCCTGACATGTCCTGAGACTACATGGAAAGAGAGGCCCGGCTAAACCTAGCCTTTCAGCCATCCCCTCCAAGGTGCCAGGGGACTGCTCATCAGCTGACATCATGTGCAACGAAAGAATCCCCAAACTGAGCCCGTCAATCCAAAGAATTGTGAGACAAAAATGAGACTGTTGATTTCAGGCACTAAGTTTTGGGGTGGTCTGTGACACAGCAACAGATAACAAACACCTATCTTTCCCACCTCCTAGCTTCTTGAAAGCAAGGTGTTATATACCTCTATGGCCCCAGGACCCAAGCATAAGACGTGGCATAAAACCAGGTCTTACGAATAATTTGCAAATCAATTAATCTCATAGGCAAACAAATTATTTGAAAGTTACTACATGGCTGACAAAATCTTTTAAAACCTTCTACTGAGTTGAATACTGTCTCCTAAATATTCACATCCACCCAAAATGTGACCTTAAAATGAAGTTGCACTGGGTTAGAGTGGGTCCTAAATCCAATGCCTTGTGTCTTTTTAAAAAGGCCAAGTGAAGACACAGAGGGGAAAAGGCCACATGACAACAGAGGCAGATTGGCATGACCCACAGTTACAAGCCAAGTCAAGGACTGCCGGGAGCTCCCAGGAAGGGGGAAGAAAGCAAGGATGGCTTCTCCCCTAGAGGTTTCAGAGGAAGCATGGTCCCACGGACACGGTTATTTCAGATTTCCGGCCTCCAGAACCCGGAGAGAACAGATTGCTATTGTTTTCAGCCAGGCAGTTTGTGGTAATTTGTTCTATGAGTCCCAGCAAACCAGTATAAAGCTGGATCCCCCGCGCGGGGGCATCATTACACAGTTTCCCAGCGGCTAAGAAACAGGCTGGAAACCACGAGTCCGAATCATCTCATGCTCCCCAGTTATAATTTATTTTATGGTATTTAATTGTGGACACTTAACAGTTTCTGTCACAAAACATCCACAAAGGATTCCTGTTCCTTTTCCCCAAAGAATTAGCAAACAGAATTAGTTTTCCCAGGTTAAGACCAAATATGTTAGTTCAGTTGATTTGCCTGCATGAGGGGAATGGAAATGCAATCTGAATTCCAGCCCTTTGTGTGCCAGTAGCTTTGAAACCCAACTGCTGCTCAGAGCCTCCGAAGCGAGGATCTTCCTGCTCCAAACCCTCGGTTTCCTTTCAGCCCCCACATTAGCCGTGCCCGCTCTCCCCAGCCCTCCTCGCCGGCCATCTCTGACCTGCGGCAAGATGATTTTCTTCAGCTGCTCCTGAGTGAAGTGCTCCACGTAGGCCTCCAGGTGAGACAGCAGCACCAGCCGCACGTGCTCCTCGTGCACCTCAAACAGCTGCAGCAGCACAGGGATCACCCGCGACTGGAACAGGGCCGGTGACAGCAGGCAAGGGCTGTCTCCCCGCGCACTGTCTACCCCAGATCAGAGGTAGTTACAGATGAAAAGGCAAACTGTCATTTCCATGAAAGGAGCACAAAGGGTAATTCATAAACTGAGCCCACAGCTTTACACATAGTCTAAGTACTCTTCTAAATTCTTATGCCCCAAACCAAAGGAAACCTTTTTGGTTGACCCCAATTACTCAAGGCTCAATTATCTTAAATACACTGGACCTTGCAGAAATATTTTTGAAATACTCTACCAGACTTAATCAGCAACAAAGAAAGCTTCTATTTTAATAGACTCCTTAATCAGTAACTCTGTATATGTTTCTGTTTAGTCAATGAGGAATTTCATACACTAGATTAGATCAATACTGCTGCTTCAATTTTATCTGCTAAACCAGGAGGTGGTAAGTGTCACAACAGGACTTGAAGCTGGGTGGTCCTCTCTTCCTGCTAGTTATGGCGGTGGTTATCAGAGACACCCACCATAATCATTTGGGGACCCTTACAAATATATATCGATAGAGTCCTGCCCTGGCTCTGTCCCGCTACCAGAGGATGAGGCATGCAGGCAAAATTTGTAAAAAACTCCCCAGGTGATTCAGAAGCACCCCCTCTAAGATCTACTGAGTAAGAGAATGATGGAGCTATAAAGAAAAATTCAGGGACTGGACAGTGTGCTGCGTGCCTGAAACTAACGTAACGCTGTGTCAACTATATGTCGATGAAAAAAACAAGTCGGGGAATGACAAAGACTGTAAGGAAATTCTATGTTGTAAAATAGTTACCTATAATGCTGCTTTGTTGGATCAAGATCTTCAAAGAAAAGAAGTTCTGAAGGCAGAATTCCACCTAACACGAGATTCTACAGACTGTTAACGCTGTCCTGTCTAGCCTGAGGTGTTACCATCTGCAGTGCTTATAAAGTTAGAGTATCAGAATAACAACCTCATTTCACATTCAGAAAAAAACAGAAGTTCTAAGTAGGAAAGTGATCTCCATGCTTTTCAATCTTTCCATTGAAAATACAAAATAAATGGGTTGCTCTTGGGAAGTCAGAAAGCACAGGCCTAACTGCAAATGCAAGTCCTGTGAAGATGGATGCCTTATCCTAAAACTCCATCATGTGCATCTCCTATTCTAGTCCTACCTGTGTGTGTGTGTGTGTGTATTTTTCAATATGCTACCCTTCTACAGTAAATCTGACTCTCCAGGAGATGCTCCTTATTTACCCAGTGGGCTCTGGTACCCAGATCTGAGTCAAAATGATCACCTGAGGGGCCAATAATTGTTTTTAGAGACATATCTAACTACACCAGGCAGTAATCTCACTCAGCTCAAATAAGGACTAATAATGCCCAAACTCCTTAATGACCAATAATCCTTTGAAAAAAATTCACCTTTTTTGGGGCCAAGCAGATGAGGAAGAAAACTCTTAACCGCTACCGGCTCTGCAAACACCAACTGATTAAGCAGAAGAGGCACCAACCGTGAGGCTATTAACTCCTCTGACAAGCAGCTGACTCTGTCCAGCAGGAATCTGAGGGCACAGAAGAAGAGCCTGGGAACCTGGTTGTGACACTGTATCTGCTTCCTTGTACACTTCAGACACACACAGCCCTCTCCGACTTCTGTCACAGTGAGGCACTGTGGAATGTGGCCAGGGAAGGTGAACAGGTGGTTACAAGGTTTTTAGGAAAAATGCAGCGGGTGTGAGACCAGGCTGCCAGCACACAAACAAGCTCCGATCTGAGTTATGAAAGGTTTCAACAAATTGCCCCTTATTTGCGGCACCAGTGTCCTCCTTTTCCCCAGTAAGCCAGAAGCTTCCCAGTCAGTTAAAAGGACTTTCTTCAAATTTAAAAAAATGTAGGATATAAGATTATCTAGAGTTCCCACAGTAAAAAAATAGAGGCTTTTGTTACTAAACTTCCTAAAATAACACATGTAAGAGCATTCTGTTAAGAATACACAGATGGGGGCACCTGGGTGGCTCAGCTGTTACGCGTCTGCCTTTGGCTCGGGTCGCGATCCCAGGATCCTGGGATCGAGCCCCGCATCGGGCTCCCTGCTCGGCGGGGAGCCTACTTCTCCCTCTCCCACTCCCCCCGCTTATGTTCCCTCTCTCGCTGTGTCTTTCTCTGTCAAATAAATAAATAAAATCTTTAAAAAAAAAAAGAATACAGATATTTGGGACCCCTGGATGGCTCAGGTGGATAAGCAGCTGACTCTTGATTTCGGCTCAGGTCATGATTTTGGGGTCATGAGACAGATCCCCATGTCAGGCTCTGCACTGCGGGGCGGGGGTCTGCTTCGGATTCTCTCCCTTTCCCTCTGCCCCAACCCCTGCTCTCTGTCTCTCTCTCTCTCTCCAAAAAAAAAAAAAGACCTAGGTGTTAGAAATAACAGTGGTAACCTCCCCCTACACGGTCGCCGTTAGCAGGCCGTCCTGCCTCCTACTGCCTGAGCAAACAGGCCACCGTGACCTAACGGGTCTACGTGCCCGCCTCCTCCCCAGGTCCCCGGGACGCGGGGCCTCCTCGTACTTCCCCCTGCGCCCAGCCACTGTCACCCCACAGCCCGACCTCTTCCGGGGCCACAGCTCTCTTCCCCAAGCCCTGCTCCCTCAGCCTACACCCCTGCTCACATCTCTTGCGTCCTAAACACGTCCTTACCGTCTCCACTCCCTTCTTCGGCTATTCTCTGTTCTCTCTTCTCCGAACTTCTCAAGTTTTACCCAGTCCACTTTCTCACCTTTCGTTCACTTCTGAGCTCATTGCGGCCTGGCTCCCTCCGCTCCAACGGCTCCTCCTCAGATGAGGGCGCCGCTGCTCCCCCCAACTCCTCAGTGAACAGGGATTCCCCCGACCTTTCCGAACGTGCCTCTGCCGGAACCACCAGGCGTCCGGGCATTCTCCAAACCTCCTGTCACCATCACTGCTGTCTCACTGGTCAGCCACCCCCGGACGAGGTTGGGTGGCAGCCCCAGGGTTACAGTCTGGGCGCTCAGTCTTCCCCATGCCTCCGCTTGCTCTGGGAAACTGTCGCCGACGGCAGGCTGTGGCACCCTGGTCCTCACTGCTGGCTCCTTGGCCGCTGCCATCTCTCCCGGGCCTCAGACCCATCCAGCCAAATGCCCGTGCACATCTCCATCTACAGCCCCCCGCACACTGTGCAGGGACACCCTGACCCCAAACTCCTCACGTTCCGGGCGCGCTGGGGCCTCTCCTCCAGGATTCTCTAACGCTCTTGGGGTCACCCTAAGGGCCCGCCAATCTGACGGTGGAAGTCCTTCTGGTCTGTGTCTGGTCGTGTCTGTACCACCGATGCCTGCCACGGTTTACCAACCGATCCAGGTCCCTAAGAAATCAATCCGTGCCCTCCGCAGACCACAGAGCGATCCGCCTCGGCAGATTTAACCGTTTCACAGCCCGCTGCCACGGCTTCGATGCCTGAAGCCCACTGCCTACCAACAGTGTCACTGGTTCTCACTGCCCCACCCGAGGGAGCCCACCTCTCACCCACCCCTGCCTTGGAGTCTGCGCTCCAACAGGACCCAGCTGCCAGGTGTGCCAGGCTCAGCACGCACCGCGCCCTGCCTCTGCGCATTCGTTCCCGCTGCCTAGAATACCTCCTCTCTCTCCTCTGGGGTCTCAGGACGCCCCCTGCAAGCTCTATCACCGTTTAAGGACTACCAGTCTGCATGTTTCCCCCACCAGAACCAGCTGTCCATCCCAGGGCCTAGCAGAAAGCCAACACACAGTAAACATCCAATAACCTTGGCCCGAGAAAGTAAATGTCTGACTCATCTCTTCAGAACACCCGAAGTGATTACACAGACTTAATCCAAGTTACTGAATTTTAAGCCCTTCACTTTGTGAACTTACTTGAAAAACTCAGTTTTTTCCTCTTCACTCTTCAATGTTAAACTTTTCAAGAAATTCACAACTTCTAGAAAATCATTCCTAAATGCCAAAGAGAAAAAAAAATATGCAGGACAAAAGATTAGAGAAGGCATGTTAAATACTGAAGCCATAAGCACAGACCACACTATGCTAATATTCAAGGAAACATTCTCCCGTGCCGCTTAGAAGCCTCTATTATAACTAAGTAGCTCATGAGACAAATGCTATGAACCAGCCCGAGAAACCAGCATTTTAAGAACAGCAAAGAGATCTGTGAAGAGGATACATGCTTCAACGCACACGGTGTGTAAACAAACACCCACAAACCCGGTGGTTTGAGTGATCAAGAGTCTCTGAGCCTTTGTTGCAACAGGATGTGGTGAAATGAACTGTCCTGGGAGCAGTGGTATTGGGGTGACCAAGCACTGCAAACAGTCGTTGAAATCTCCAGTCTGCTCTAGTGAAGTAAGAACTCTGAGAGGGTTGGAGAAAGAGGCATCTCTCGTGCCAGTCACTGGAATCTTCCCATTGCTCCTGCCCGAAGCCGTGAGGCCATTTTCTCAGCCAGGCAGCGGGGAGGGGGAGGGGCTGTGGGTTCCCCGCAGGGCCTGTGAGGCTGCACACTGCTCAGCTCCAAGGGAACGCTGCTCCCGTGCTCCCGTCCTACAGGACGAGGCTGCTGGGCCATCCGCACGCAGCCCCCCGAGTCTCCACATCTTACATCGACACCCCTTTCTTTCCCTCTGGCTTAGCAGCAGAGAAAAAACACAAATGTCTTAACTGACGTCTAATCAAGTTGTCTCACAGGTAACCATCAGAGTTCAGGAAGAGGTAGCTGGTGTGGGCTTTGGCTTTCTCTCCCATCTCTGCTTAAAGTACAATTCTTACTAAAGAACTCTTACCACACAGTGATGAGATAATCTACTTGCTGTAAAGGGTTGTTCTTTGTAGAGATCTTATATCAAGGTAAATAAAATACTGGTACAAATTATCCGAAAGGACACAGAAATGCCTTGGTTAGAAGAATCTTGTAATGGGCAAGGTTTTGAACAGTTTCTTTGAAATGTAAATGACAAATAAAATCCTAATAGCTATGGTGAAACTACCTCTCTGCCCTGTTTAATAATATGGCCCCTTGTCCTACCCTAGAGGTAATTCACCCCCTCCAAGGAGAACGTTAGCTTTCCCTCCACTCTGGTTTTTCTCAGCTCTCCAACCGCAAACAAGTAAGGATCTTTAATTTCAAAATGGACATAAGATCAATTGTGCTAATAAAAGTTGCGACTGTGAAATTAACCTTTGGGTCGTGGAAATGAAAAGGTGGAGGACACATAATTAAAACTGACCTTGAAGAGAGGTTCAAAAACATCTCTGAATCCAGCGACAGTATTACCATTCTATCGTGCCCTCCCTTTAGACTTCTGTGCTTCTCTTCCATCATGTATTACTAAACCAAGAAGACAATCTTCTGCCTGAAGAAAAATGAGCTCCTTTCCCCCCAACAAGAAAAATTTTCAACAATGACAAATTCTTATCAAGAACACGATGGCAGTAGAGAGTTTCTCAATTCCTTGACAACTGCAAACCGCAAGCCAACCCAAGTCCTAAGGGGACCTGGCTGTAACTTCTAAACTCAAGCCTTCACCAGAGTTAAAGATTTCTCAAACTTCCTGTGGTAAGAACCCAAGGCAGCCCAGTTTTGCCCTCTGTTTTCCCATGTGGACGTGATTTAAACCTCTCCTGACAGTGAACGGCAACCACAGGAGGGACTGCGTGACCGGGGCCCCCAAACCCCACGGCCGGAACGCCAGGTCTGAGAGCAGGCCAGCCGCAGGGAAACAGCCAGCCAAGGCCGCCAGATGCCCTCACCTGAAGAAGTCATGGGACAGTAAGGTGCAGAGCGCTGGCCGACATTTTGGAATGGGATTCAGCAAGGTTGAGTGCAAGGTCTGTTGAAAGCTGGAGAGAACATCCGCTGAAACTGAAATCCAGAGCTACAGTTAGTTTCCAATGCCTTCTCCCTCTTTCCAGGACCTCTATAGCTGGAGACTGACGAGAGCAAAAACCAACCTGTAAAAGCCCAAACAAACAAAGCCCTGGCTGTTGCTAAGCAGAAGCCAGACTCCAAGGCAGGTGTAGAAAACTCACCTGCTCACACAGCCAACCGCCCCACCCCCCGGGGCTCCCCTGCGGAGCCGCCTCACGTCCAGGCCGGCTGTCCGGGTTAGCTCAGCTCAGGCCTAAAGACGGCTGAATAGGTGGCAGGTCTGTGGGCCTCTCCCACCAGGGTTCCTCATCCATAGAACGAAAAGTTATCGGAATGACTGTATTTTCTAATCTCCCAAGGATGGTATATAATTGCCACCATTCCAGACACAGTTGGGTAGTAAGTTCATCCCCACAAGGGCGGCCTTAGGGCCTTAAGGGTGTAATTCTCAAGTATTTTTAGGCTGAGACAATTTAGAGCCAGCAGCTGAATGATGCTTGTAACTTCAGAACGCTGCAGACACCTGGTGAAAGAAACTGCATTAGAGCTGCACGAAGCCTGGGCCCAGTGCGATCCCGGGCAGCAAGGGGCCTCACGGGGTAGGCACCCCTGGCCAGGCAGCAGGCGGGCACCTGAAGGCCAGCGGTGGCTGGAGCAGAGTGAAGCAGGCTCCAGGCGCGCCTCTGGAGAGCTCGAAAGAGAAGAAAACAATGTGCTCAGTAGCCTGGGCTCTCCGGGGCAACAAAAGAAAAGGCAATAAGTACATTATATTAAGAAGAAAAATATCAAAAGGACTTGGAAAGAATAAAGACAAAGAAATGCTAAGCTTGATTTAGATTAATAAAAAATGTTGAATCCTCCTCTTTCCTTCAGATGGTTCCACATCAATCAGTTAACAGTGTTCATTTACGTGGCTGACTAAGGAACAGAGGCTTCAGACCACAAGAACCAATCCCAGTAAGTATCACGAGAGTAACCTGGGATACTTAAGAGTCAGAGCTGAAGGTGGTTCCTACTTAAAATGCTTTTAATAAAGAAATCAGAGCTTCCTTCCTCACTGCTGTTAAGATCTGCCCTAGACAAGTTATTTGGTAAGCAACAGATTCCTTATTGTGATCAAAGACTGCGGTCCTTTGAATCCACACAGAACAGGCTGTGAATGACCTTCCTACTTATTCTGTGGATGCAGTAGTACAACTCCGACTCACCCTGTTCACTTAAGATTGTGAGCAAACTTTCCACCAATGTCCCAAACGCAAAGGCGTCCCGGGCATGTCCGTGTGATTCAGGCAGGGTTGTGAATTCTGGAGACTGAAAGCAGGAAAGATCATTAAACCTAGAGAATCTGCCTTATAAACCATCTAAGTTTTCTCTGAAGCACTCTCCCATGTTTGCATTTATGAGACTCCAAGCTAACCTCACAGTACCATCCATTCGCTTACAGACTTCTACACTATGAGTGAATGGAATTTATCAAAGATTTAAAAATATCAAACAAGGGCAAAAAGAAAACAAAAGGCCTAAATAGGATATATGTCTGTGGCTTTCAAAAATATTTTTGACTGCAACCAGATTTTTAAAATGTTTATTATTATGATTACTGTTAGTGGGGGTAATATACACACATATGCATAAAGATCCATGTAACAGAAACAAAAGTTTCATAAAACAATACTTAGCCTTACTACCTACAGCACTTAATGATATTTTCTGTTTTACTCCTTTTTCTCAAAATGCTTGTCAGAACCTCTAACAACTTGATTTAAAACCACAAATCCGTCTGAAAAACACTAATATATACACACAGTGCTGATTTGGATCAACAGGATTTATTTCAAGTCTTAGGTCTAGACTCAAGTTTGTATTTGGGTTTGTATTTCCTGTAAAGCACATTAAATATGTCTTTGGGGATCGCAGTCTGTTTCCAGAAGTTATAAAATCAAATTTAGAGGGAGCAACTTCTTTCATATTTACTGGTAAATACAATTTTCACCAGCAGCTGGTGGTGAAGGCAAGAAACAAAACAGAATAGAAAGGTTCATCGACCTACCAGGGAAATTTGTGGATGGAACCTTTGTCACTCAAGATTATTAATGCCAATCATCACTCTTCTAGGTCTCGTGGCGTCCTAACCAATAACCGACAGGCCGATGAATGGCTTCGGGGAAGCAAAGGAAGGGCTGGAGTGTTGCGTCCCCAGCTCTTCGGGCTTCCAGCAAAATACAAAGACCCTGAAATGGGTCTGAAGCACCAAGCCTGTCTTTACACGGTATCCTAGGTGTCCGTACCACCAAAAATGTAAGCGGACTGTCAGGGAAAAGGCTCCCTGCTGTGGTGATAAGATTAATCTGAGGAGCTGTCCGGCCAAAGGCATTCTGAGGCGTCCGCAGCTTGGCCAAGAAAGAGGGGGCAGATGAAAGGTTCTTTTAAGTTGCACACTCAGTTACACAAAGAAGCCTTCGTTACAGCTGAAGCATGTCATCTTACCATCTCTTCAGGAGGGATAGATGCTGGGTCTCTGACTGACTGAATACTCCTCAGAAACTAGACAGAGAAATAAATTAAGGAAAATAATTCATACACAGGTCTGGTGAACCAATCTCTTACAGCAAGTTACAGAAGCAACCAGCAATGGAAACAGCAGCATGAAGCCTTCACACCAATGCCACATGTTAAATACGCACATGGGAAATCTTGCTCATTAAAAAATGTGAATACAGTACCTGGCACAGCAGGAGGCTCAGTGGAAAAGACAGGTTAGTTCCCTGCCTCTCCCCTTCAGCCGGGTAGGGCGCCCTCTGCTGTTCAGAGGCATCTCTGCGTCTCACTTCCCTCCATTAGTAATTAGGAATACATCTTTCTCATCCTGCCTAGTTATTAACAAATAAAAGGCTTTTCTAGCATAGAACAAATCTATCATTAATCTTCCGACTGAATCAAGTCAGTCTTAAGGCTCACTGCCACGTGAGATACCAAAGTTGAGGACCTTATTAGCTACAGAGATGACATCCACAGATCAAGGACATTCATTCACTGATTCAAAGATTATTTTTCAAGAGCTTCTATGTCCCAAACACCACTTACGGCACGAGAAATACAAAAGGAATATGGTAAATTCCCTGCCCCCAGCCGGTGCTCACAACCTAGAATGTAAACTAAGAATTTTAGTGATGTGCTGAGTGCCAAGGCAGCACAGAAGGAGGGATGAATTTCGCTGGGCAGGGAATACCCCGGGGAGGGCTTCACAAAGAGACTTAGCTAGATCTGAGACTTCAGCTCATCTTCCACTCTCTGGAGAGCCCGGGGGAAGCGAGGCATCCCAGCAACAGAATGGCACACAAGGGAAGAAGAGGGTGCGGGAGAACCACCCCTGCGAGAACTCGGGGCGACTCAGTAACTGGAAGTGGTACGTGACGCTGAAGGGAGGCTGGGGAAGAGCTTGCGGAGGGCCTTCCACGCCACGGTAAAGATTTTGGAACACTGGTCGCAGGATGAATTACGTGCTGTTATACTAATTAGATGTAAGGTGAATTCTGAGAAGAAAGGGATCGACTAGGGCAGAAATATTACCAGAGGAGCATCTCTGTGGTGGAAGTAGCATTTGAACTGGGCAAGAGCCCAGGAAGGTGCACACTTAACATGGCCCACGTGTGGAAGCCCCACAAGAGAACAGGGGAAACCAGACAGAGCCAGCAGGTCGCGAGCCGCCACTTCAGTAGGGCTGCCGGGATGGGACTGGTTTTGTTTCGTTCTGTTTTTCAGAAAGAGCAAGTCTAGTGGCAACATGCAAAATGGTGAAAACAAGAAACAAAACAGAAGAGGAAGGTTCATCAACCTAGGAGGGAAATTTGTAGATCTTGGTCAGACAAAACCAGCTCGGGGTACAACACAGCCCCCTGGGAGGAGTTAAGCTGCACGGGTCCTAACTCCAGCTGTCAGGACACAGCGTGTGACTTTGGACAACATGACGGTTGTTAATGAACGTTTCTTCAGTACCTGATGCATGCCAGGCACTACTCTAGGGAGAGATGTAAAGATACATATAAGAGACTCTCACACCCTCACGAAGTCAAACAACTGGTAAAAAAAATAGACACACAAAGGTAATTTCAATATTAAACATTAAGTGGTGCGATTAAGTACAGGGTAGTAGAGGAGCAGAAGGCAGGAACATTTAATTAAAAATTTGACCAAGCCAGGTTACCTCTCAGTCTCAAGTTCCTCAGCTACCAAATGAGGAGACAAGAAGAAATGAAGGCTGGGGCCCCTCTGAAGAGTAAACTCCTACCGTTCTGCGAATATGAGCACTGACAAAAAAGTCTAGTCTCCAAATCTAAGATCACTCTAACACTGAAGGAAAATACCCAGGTAAAACCACATACCAAAATGCTATCAAAAATTCTGCATGACACAGGGGGCCCATCCCCTGGCTTACCTCGGGCGTGGCCTGAGGAACTTTACAGACGGTTTCCATTCCTCCGAGCTTCCAGTGCCCATCTTCACTCACAAACACAGATGATAAGCAGACGTTGTTGTGTGTTAGGTGTCCCTGGAAAAAAGAACAGGAGGAGGCTGCCACTAGAAATTTTGAAGCAGGAGTTTTAAAAAACTAAATACTGAACACCAAAAAGAGATATGGCAAGTCATCCCACTCGTGGCATGATAAATGGAAGTACAACTTTAAGGAATGACAGACTGAATAAGCCTGCTTAAGCATTATGAGGTTGGAGAACAGGGAAGTGCAATGAAAGGGCTTTTCCTTGGCTGCACATCCCCGCTTCCATGGGTATCAGGAGAACCAAGGGTTCCTTAAGTGTGAGGTTACAAGTCTTTATAGCCTACATTGTTTGCTTCCATCCTTTAAAAGATAAAGTTTACCTTTGCTCCCATAGGTTATTGTATTACTTTTCTCCTCTAAATTCTTCCTCACCTACATTCTATCACGAACCCAGATCCACTTCACCTGAAATCTTGTCAGTAGGCATTTAAAAATCCTGCCCAGAGAAGAGGAAAATGGAATAAGGACCACCAGAAATACCCCACAGACCACAGAAATGCCAAAATTTAAAACTATAAAAAATAATACAGTCAAATAAATGAGAAGAAAGAAGAAAATGAGAACAGGATTGAAGTGTGTTTTTTTCCTGAACCAGAAATCATTTCAGTAGACAAGTGCATTTTAAATATTCTACTCACTAGATCAAGTATGTACAAATTTTTTTTTTTTTTAAGATTTTATTTATTTATTCATGAGAGACAGAGAGAGAGAGAGAGAGAAGCAGGCTCCCAAGGAGCAGGGAGCCCGACGTGGGACTCGATCCCAGGACCCTGGGATCATAACCTGAGCCGAAGGCAGATGCTTAACCATCTGAGCCACCCAGGTGCCCCAAGTATGTACAAATTTTGATAGGAAACACTCCAATATATAT